GAATGAGGGGAAGATTCCTGTTTAGTAGAGAATGAGGGGAAGATTCCTGTTTAGTAGAGGATGTGGGGAAGATTCCTGTTTATTAGAGGATGTGGGGAAGATTCCTATTTATTAGAGGATGTGGGAAGATTCCTGTTTACTAGAGGATGAGGGGAAGATTGCTGTTTATTCTGAACACGTACAAGTCGTGTATTTTTATTTAACTAGAAAGGCTGTTTGATAGTTAAAATTACCCTTCCTATATTTGTGTTTATATATTTTTCTGATTTTTCATTTGTTTTATAGAAATGTTTAGATCTCGTATATAATTTTTATAATGACCTGTGACCTGATTTTATACAAGTCAAGTAGACTGGTCCTCAAGTTATTGCTGAGATATCAGAACATAATGAAGTATTGGGTAACATGTATTTTTCACCTACTCTTCTGGATGGATTATTATCACAATAAACAAGTGTGAAGATACGATAATAATCCATCCAGATGATATTTACTTTCTGTTTAGTTACAGTAAAAAAACTAATTAAACTTATTCAAATTGATACTTCCCAAATAACAGTAAACGAAGGGAACCAGTAATATTATTCTGTGTGCAAGTTTTTCTTCAGGTTTTAGATTTTTTGTGCAATACACCATCGGTTATATTTTGTTTTTAGGTTATTAAAGTAAGTAATTTTATGATAACCATCGAAACCGTACTGAGTATTTAGGTAAAAATATTGGTAACCGGACAATTAGACACCTAAAAAATGTCTAGTTGTCCGGATACCGTGCAGGTCATATAATAGAGTAAATGAGACTGGTAATGTAGTAGGCCTAGATATATGCAGGTGATATAATAGAGAAAATTACTGTAATTGTTGTTTTATTTCATAATAAACAAGTGGTGTCTAAATGTCGTACTTTGTCATCTTGTTTTAGGTGTCTAGTTGTCCTGGATTCAAAAATATTATAAACATCGTGCATCTATTAGTCCTGCATTCAAAAATATTATGAAAATCGTGCGTCTAGTTGTCCTGGATTTAAAATTGTTATGAAAATCGTGCGTCTAATTGTCCTGGATTCAAAAATATTATAAAAATCGTGCGTCTTGTTGTCCTGGACTCAAAAATATTGTTACGGCAGCGGAAGTCACGTGACGTTGACGGCGCATTGGCGGTGGTGGCATGTGTGAGGAGTTTCTCGAATGATCGTGAATTTCCTAGTTTCTTCCAGGCGCCCTCTTTTTTAGTATATAACCCCGGCAAATAAAGCGAGGATAGAATTGCATACATAGATAAAGAGATTGAAGACAGAGATAATCGAGTCAAGCCGTAAGTAAAGTGCACGAATCCCTGTGAATTATAGCGTGTTTTTATAAAAGTAGTCAAGTTTAAAGTGTCGGCGGAAATTCTGTGTTTTGCAAAGTTGTATCGAGAAAGAATAAATTAGTTTTAATTATGAAAGGACTTGTATCACTGAAGTTTCTCGGAAAAGAATTCTACGGTAAATTAACAAACAAGCAGATACGTAACAAATTGGTGTCATAAATGAGATGGAAAAGAAAAGAAGATGGAAACGAGAAGTGGCAAATCAAACTACAGCTTAGAAGATTTGATGGTAGCAATACAAGAACAGCAAAAGAAACAAGAAGAGAGACAACAGCAGTGGCAAGAAAACCCGCAACAGTGGCAGCTCGAACAGCAAAATAAACAATAAGAGAGATTACAACAGTTGTTGGAGGAAAAGAAAAGAAACAAAAAGAACGAGAAAATAAACAAGAAGAGAGACTACAGCAGTGGTTGGAGGAGAAAGAAAAGAGACAAGATGAAAGGCTACAACAGTGGTTGGAAGAGAAAGTAAATAAACAACAAGAGAGACTATAGCAGTGGCAGGAAAACCACCACTAGTGGCAACTGGAACAAGAAGAGAAATAGGAAGAAATACTCCAACTGTTGAGAGAAAGCCAGAACACACAAATGGAAAAGATTAGTAAATTCCAAAGTGAATTAAATGCATTAAACGATAATTTACTGTCTTTTACACAAGGAGGA